ATCAGGAGCTCAGTTACCAAATCCAAGGTACAATGCACAGAGTGAGGTCCAAGAACACAGCCAAACCAGGGTCAAGAACCTGGAAGCAGATCCACTGAGAAATCCAAAGCCGATGTCCAGGAACAAACCAAAAGCAGAGTCAGAAAGCAGGAAAGCCAGAGACATTGCTAGGAAAGGAGCAGCTCAGAGACCATAGACCAGTAGGTTGTGCAACAAGGCTTAGATGTTGGAGCAGTTCCTTAAAAGCAGCCTCAGAAGGAAGGAGCTGGGAACTGGCTGACCTTGATTACTTGTAACTGGATCATCCACATTTAATAAAGGCCACAGGGCAGGAGTCTGACTGAGCCTTACCAAGTTCACATAGGCTAGCCTTACAGATGCCTTTGTTTTATCGCCTGTGGAGGACCACACAGATATGAGGACACCTAAGGATTAAAAGGCCTGACCTCATTTCCTGAATTAAGAATAAACTGTAAGGAGAATCTTGGTGAAAGAATTTCATATATGGGGGCTCAAATGGAGCCTGATAGATGCATAGGGTGCATTTCAACCTACTGGCAGGCAAGGTACTTTGAGTAGATGTGGTATCTTTCATTAGACCAACTGAGTAGCTGTAAAAAAGTTCTTAGCAATTTTTGGGGCACAATTACCCTTCTTCAGGCATAAGAAGTGTCTGCTTTTCTGAGACTCCAAGGAATGGGCAAAGCCAAAAGTGTGACAGGATGTCAGTGAGAAAGCAAATAGGTAGATATTAGGAAAACAAAAAGGTAAAGCAAGGAAGGGAGGGGTGAAAAAAGAAGAGGGGGAAAAAGCCAAATGTGAGTAAGGGAGACTCTATAGTGGTAGTAATTCACGGTGGAAAAGAGGCTGTCTGTAAAAAAAAAAGGAAATAGCTGGAAATTAGAAAGACAAAGTCTACATTGAGTCCATGATTTTTTGTATCCGGTGGATTTATGAAGTGAAGCTCATAGGCTCATCTACGAAAGGTGTTTTGTAAGTTCCCTTTGAGGATTAGAACCCCTTTCAACCTACTGGCTTTTATAAAGCCAGTAAGTACCAGACAATTCCAACAAGTACTAGAGAAAATGCACAACTCATGATTACTTCAAAGCTATAGCCCAGATGGCATGTGAGCCTTGACTGTAGCTTTGGTTCTTGTAACATCTATCAATGCCAAAATGGGGAAAATTCATAGTGGATGACAGCACTGGAAGTCAAAGAAAAATGTTCTATTTCTTCAAATAAATATGTTGCTAGGGACATCTCAAATAAAATGTGCTTGAGAATTAATACATCAGAGGGAAGCCATGTTTGTAAAATACTACTCCACCTCCCCTCCCTTGATCTGGATGGGATAGTTCTATGTATGAGTCAGCTCTTATGACAGACCTTTCTGAAACCAATTAGATGAATCCAGCATCTTCCACCAAAACAAATCTTGTGAACGGGCAGAATTCCCACCATGTTCCACACTGAGCCAGTCCAGGTGGGCGCACACATACTTACCCACTTCCTTGGCATTAACTTTACTGTAGCTTAAATAGCAACGGAACATAAAACCACAACTTGAGCTGCCTCTCCAGATGAAGCAGTTATGAAGGGTTTGCTTTCTCTTTACCCACTGTTTCTGCTGATATCCTGACAGAGTTAAATAGCAATTGTTATCATAAGCTAGCCAAACTTCCTCAGCAACTTCATTAATTTCTAATGCCACTAGCAAGTTCCATTACACCTGCCACTCAGGTAATAGTCTATTAGAATTAGGCAGCATGTATGGAAATAAAGTCAAGCCATTTCAGTATATCATGTGTGTGTCTGATTTACATTTTTGAAGGCATTCATCATTAAAGTTTTTTATTAAAGCATGATTAAACTGTGTAGATGTTACTGAATCTATGGGAATTGTATATGTGAGACTTATTCACAAAGGGAGGGAGTTTGTCTTTGGAAAAAGTAAAAATGTGTGAAGGTTAATGTGTTACAGTAGGATACCTTGACATTAGGAGTCTGTAGAGTAAGACAGAGCCGTAAGACACCCTAAACTACGATTGTCATGACCTTTCCTAAAAACCTAAATTACACTGATGCCAGGGGAAAGACTCTTATTGGACTTCAGCTGGCATTAGATTGGGCTGGTAAAGGCACAACAAAAAAATAGAAGCCCTAACTTTGTGTCATTTATATCATGTCAAAAGTATTTGAGATTAGCATTGTAACAAATCCGCCCTACTTTATGGTTAGAACCATGATTCACAAAGCTAACTTCCTGCAGCTAGGAGGACACTGGAGCCATATAGATTGTAATGGTTACATATTAAATCCCTATTTAATTTATTTAGCCAGTCAAATATGTAGGGTGAGTTGGCCAATCACATCTTAACCATACAGAAATTGTACTGCTCACACCAGATTAATGCTATTAAGAAAGCCTAAGGGCATGCTAAATGCAGAGTTGGAAATAGAAACCTACCCCATATCAACAAGTAAACCTGGAGAAAGACATGTCACAAGCTATTTCAATTGTGGATAGAAGGAAGAGAAACAAACACTTCAATCAGGAGTAGCTTAATAGGTCAATTATGTCCTGCATTTGCCTGATAGAATCAAAGTGCAGGAGACTAAAATGGGAATTTGGGTGACTAAATACTCCTCTGAGTCTCTCAGTAACTTGTTTGGATGTCCTGCTGAGGTGCCGGGACATATTTTGAAAACTTCCTTCCTTCCCCTGGTAATGATTAGGGTGTAAGTAAGCCCAAATCACGCAACCAGTGCCAGAATACACAGCTGACAGAACCTTTATTATAAATTATATTGCAAACTGACACACAACTCTTATAGGTTTAGTGTTATTGACGTTGCTAATATGTACTGCCAAATTCTGCTTCCATTACACCATAAAGTCCCATTGGGTATAACAGCGGAGAGTAGAATTTGACTAATTACACGGGGAAGTTAGGAATGTCTGAGAAGAGACTTGTTCAGTGCTTTCCAGTCAATAGCTAGAAAATCCCGTAAGTGCTCTTATGACACAGACTGGTATTTGGCATGTTGATTTTTGTTTGGTTTTGTATCGTTTCATAGATTTCATAGACATCAGGGCTGGAAGGGACCTCGGAAGATCATCGAGTCCAGCCCCCCGCCCAAAGGGCAGGAAGTCAGCTGGGGTCATAGGATCCCAGCAAGATAAGCATCCAGTTTCATCTTGAAGGTGTTCAATGAAGGCGCTTGAACCACCTCCGGTGGCAGGCTGTTCCAGACCTTGGGGGCTCAGACAGTAAAGAAGTTCTTCCTTATGTCCAGCCTGAAACGATCTTGAAGTAGTTTGTGACCATTCGACCTCATCATCCCTTGGGGCGCTCTGGTGAACAAACGTTCCCCCAGATACTGGTGGTCATCCCAATAAACTTGTAGGTGGCCATCAGATCACCCCTGAGCCTGCGCTTTTTCAGGCTAAAGAGCCCCAGGGCTCTCAGCCTGTCATCATAGGGTCTGCTTCCCTGACCTCTGATCATGCGCGTGGCTCTTCTCTGGACTCTCTCAAGCTTCTCCACATCCTTTTTGAATTGTGGAGCCCAAAACTGGACACAGTACTCCAGCTGCGGCCTCACTAAGGCCGAGTACAGGGGGAGAATGACGTCCCGGGATTTGCTTGAGAAGCATCTATGGATGCAAGCCAGCGTTTTGGTCGCTTTACTAGCCGCCGCATCGCATTGCAGGCTCATGTTCATCTTGTGGTCAATGATGACCCCCAACATGATGGGGGTCATCATTTCGAACATGATGGCTTTCTATTACCTATTGATGACCTTATTTTGTTTATAATTTAACTTTTTTCAAAACACTTCACACACACATTTATTGAGGTCTTCAACTGCATTTGACACATAATATATATTTTCACTTTGATATTTACTCCAAGATAAATTGAGCCTACAAATACATTTCTGTTTAATGTTTTTGTTTCCTTCACCTTGAAATTGTCCATGAGAATGATACATTTGTATTGTGATGTCACAATTGCTTGTGAACACCCTGAAAAACAACATTAATTTATTATATGACTTAGCTAATTTTCTGTAGGTTCACCTCCTAGCTCAGATTGTCATGACCTTTCCTAAAAACCTATTCACATTAAGTATAAAACATTAACCTTAAACATTGTCCTTGTCCATTAGCCATTTATAATCATATACAGAATAAAGGAATGTGCTCCCAGGAAGGAAGGAAGATGGCTTTTTTGCTCTTTTTTTTCCAAGAAACCCCATGGATAAACCAATGTAATTATATGTTTAAATTAAAATTATTATTCAGACATATCTCTACATGGTATAGGGATCCAGTCAGGATATGATCCATGGTAAACAAGGCAGACAAAGTTAGAAGTGAGGCTATGTAAAGCTATGTGAATAACTGATTTTTCTCTGTTTTCAGAGATGGAAGGAAAAGAAATTTTGCAACTGTAAGTCACAGCCCATGACTTCACTGGAAGCATTAAATATTTTCCAGTACTGGGAGATTCAGGTTTTCTAGTACAGAAGCTAGAATGACCCGTCTCAGGTTGATGGAAGGAAGGCATTAGGACCCATGTGCCACCACCCCTTCTCCCCATTTCTCAGTTGCAGCAGGGCATGCCTATTACCTAACTGTGTCAAGACACAGGCAAAGCTCCCCATTCACCAAAGCCCCCGGCAGCTGACTGTGACATGGAGCAGAGACAGCTCGCCACTGCCAAAGTCACAACTCTGAACTGGGTCCACAGGCTCTGTAGGCCAGATCTAGCCCATGGGCCATAGATTGCCAACCCCTGATGTAGACAGGTTAGTGTACACTAGAGAAATGGAATGCAGGACACACCAGGCTGGTGGTGGTGGTGCAATGTTTCAAATAAGATGAGAAGCCATATTCCTCCCTATTCAAGTCCCATAGAAATTTTCACAAAGGCTGAGTTGTTAGCTCTAGTAACCTTGCTAACTCTGATAAATTAATAACATTCCACTTACTAAACTTCATTTTTTCTTTGAATAGGCTTTTCTTCACTTTGTATCCTGACCTACAGCAAGTGGTTTGTAGAATGAGGATGACACCTTCCAACCCAGAAGTGAGAAGTGATCTTTGCAATCAAGAACCTAGTAGATAAGAAAACAAGCATTAAAATTGCTTTTACAACTTCAGTGGAGTCAAAATTACACCCAGGCTTTTTTCTTTCCACAGGACTTGTATTCATTCTAAAGTATGAATGGTACTCTATGACTAAAACATGTCAAATATTTATTTGCCCATTAATGTATGACTCTAGACCTTATTTATTGCTGTTTCCAAACCCTGCACTGAATAATAAATGATTCATTTCCACATGCACTTTCCTCCGATTGAAACACTGATAGTGCCACAAGCATGCATAAATTTATGTTTATAACTTACCTGGCCAGTACCATGCAGGACCTGTGCCAAATACTCTCTTATATGGGTCAAGTTGTTCTGTGTGGGAGTGAGAGCTATTTTATGGCTAGTCCAAATATGTGGCACTCCCATAACTAGCAGAATCCCCAAAGCTCACCAATTTCTGCTCCAAATGCAAAAGGCACTCTTTGACCTGCCCTCTCAGATATACTTATTGATCAACATACATACACATACATAACCAGAACCCAGAAGCAAAACCCTACCAAAACTCAGTCTACCTTATCCGACTCATAATTCTCCCTCTGAAGAGGACAAGAGAAAGAACAAGATGCTCATCACATCAATTAAGGCATACTTGGTAGAAGCTCAGGTATAAAAGTGAAGATGGTATAAAAAAGCCCATAAGTAGAACTCAGGTTTTGAAGGTCAAGGCCCACTATTTTAAAGTAGAAGACAATCCTTTCTCTGCCTTCACTCACCTGTTTCATTCACCACTCACCTTCCAATTCCTTCAGTAATGAGGAAGAAGTCTAGAAATGATGGTATCTTTCCTGACGCACCTTTGATTTTTTTCCATAAGCACCACCCATCTGATGCACTGAATCAAATCAGGGCCCTGTGGAGAAAGTAGTTTGCAATTATGTAATAAAAATTAACTTTCTGCATGTAAGAGGACACAATTCAGGTTGCCTATCCTAATAGTCAAGTACCGTATTTATTCAATTCCAGGACAAGCTCCCTCTCTCCTCCTCCCCCTCCCCCTCCCATTCATCATGGAAAAAACAAAGTGCTGTCTTAGAATCAAGTATCAGACCACCCAAGCTGGGAGCTGTGGGGAGAGGCAGTTTTGATAGCCCAGGTTGGTCAGGGACAGCTTCCGGTATCTGGTCCCTGCCCAGATCCTCTCCCCCATTTCCCTGGCTGGCAGGGAACAGATGCTAGAAGGATGAATCTGCATGCCGTTGCTGTTGTTCCCAAGAAGAGCTGAACTCCCTGCACAGCCACTCCCCATAGCTCCCAGTTGGAGCAGTGTGACTCCCAGCTGATATAGGCATGGGAGGATCCCCAGAGCTGCTCCTCACCTGCTCCTACACCACATTGGACAAAGCAGCTGAGGTAGATGCGCAGACTCCTCCTTCCAGCTTACTCCTGGTCGGAAGAGGGGTGGAGGGAAAGGACAGCCAGACAGGGAAGGAGGAACCTGCACACCACTCACATTACTCCCAGCTGATCCAGATGCCCTACACAGCTGCTCCATGCAGCAAGAGCAAGTGCAGGTCAGGAGCAGCTGTGGGGCAGATCAGGTGGAAACAGCAGCAGAAGGCTGGAGCAGGAAGCAGAAGGTGGGGCATGCACAGAAACAAATGAGGGGGCAGGCAGGGGGGAATAAGTAGGAGAGGGAAAGCAGCGGGGGTCAAGCCACACCACTTGCCTCCCCACCACCTGCTCCCTCATTGCTTGCTCCCCTGCTGCTGCTTTCCCACCACATCAGTGGGGAGGATGAATTTAAGACAACCATGCCACCCAATATTAGATTCTAGATGTGGAAAATTATGACAGATTTATAATTGTCCATGTCTGGAATCCAGTTATTGGGGGAAGTCATCTTAGATTTGATATTGTCTTGGATTTGGGTAAATGCAGAACAGTGGGCCTCCAGGGTTGGCCATCTGCATTCTTTGAACCCAAGATATTCAGCAGTTCAGCATATACCCTCACCACTTGAGATCAATAGTAACTACACTGGTTGCTCTCTCAAATAGATTGTTGACCTCTGCAGACCAAGCACTGGGAGTGCGGGGAGGGGCGTGTTACATGCTGAAACAGTGAAAATGAGACACTCGGTCTTCTGTTAGTTGACCAAATATGCATTCCTCCCTTAAACTAAACATAATCAGAGTAAGATCTATTCTTATCTGGTTCTATAAAGTGCTACAGTTCTTCTGATCAAAATCATTACCATTGGGAAAACTACCTATTTCTCTCTTAAAAAAAGAACAAACAACAACCATCACCAACTAGGCTAAGTACAGACATTCAAAAAGCCCAAGTCTAAATTGATTCAATCTTTGCAGGTTAGTCTAACCTGCGTAGATTGAACCGAGAAGCAAGTGAATAGACATTCACTTTTGATTCTGGAAATGCAGTCACATGCCTGCAGTGGCCTAAGCCAGAAGCTGAGGGGTGCTAGAGTGAGCCCTCCCTTCCCTTCCTCCATAGCTGGGCCGGGGGAAGCTGAGCTGAGGGAAGGGGGGCAGCCAGCCCCCTGTAGGCCTGAGTATGATTGGGAAGGGGTTTAAACCCCAACCCCGGCCTGCAGAGACCCCAGCTGGGGTGTGCCTGGAGGGGAAGGGGGGAAGCAGCCCTTGCCAGGATTTGGGGGAGGAAGGTGAAAGAGTGGGACCAGATCCTGGCCTCTAACCTGATGCCAGTCTGGCATGCCCCTCTAAGGCAAAGGGGGTAGGGAGAGGAAGTGCTTTATTCCCATCTCCCTCCCCTCTCCCCACCAAGACCCCAGTCGGGGTCTGCCTGGCCAGGGCACAGCAGCCCCTGTCAGGATCCCTCCCTGCTCTGGGGCGGGGGCATGGCCAGATACCAGCTGGCATGGTGCCCTAAGGTGAAAGGGGCAGGGAGGGATTTATTTCCCTCTCTGTCCCCTCTCCCACTGGGGGACCACAGCTGGGGTCTTCCAACCCCAGCCACTGCCTCTGCTGCTCACCCCTGGCCAGGCAGACCCTGGCTGGGATCCCCTGATGGATAAACCCTGCCCACTTTGCCTCAGGGAGCCATGATGGCCAGCGTCTGGCCACACCACCACCCCATCTCTTGCTAAAATGCAGAGGGGCAGGGACAGCCTTGCTCTCTGGAGCAGACAGCACAGCCCAACCCAGGGATGAAAAGCATTCTGGGATGCTGAGAGACTTCGATTTAACTTAAACTAGGAAGGGATCTGGATCAGAAGTTCCATAAACCAATTTAACCTCAATCAGTTAAGTCTGATACTACACTAAAACAAATTTTTCTTAAACCAGTTGTGGCCATTTTGAAACTAGTTTATGTGCACTGAATATCTGTTCTGTTACAGGTTTAAACCAGTTTCTTATCACTTAAACTGGTTTATGTGCAACTTCTGTCCTTAGCCCTAGAGGTCTTTTCATTAGAACTTTCAAAATTATTCAACTTGAGGCAGAGACCAGATTTCCCTCTGAATAGTTAAAAGCCTAACAAACTTATAAGCAATTGAAACCAGTGGATGAAGCAGACTTAAAACAGCAGTTGCTATGAGGACTTGTGGTTACTCATATCAGTACCCTCTGTAAATGTATTGACAATAAATGTTTGCATTATAATAGAGAGATATACTATATTCAAACTGTCCATTGTATCTAGTATTGTAGTAACTAGTATAAATATCTAGTATTTATACTAAACTAGTTTCACTTTTTCCACCTTTCGTGGTCATGAAATAAAGTCAATTCTGGATGGGAAAGGAGGTGAGAGATACTTGACACTAAAGAGGATAATTAACTAACATATTAATTTTTTTTCTACATTATTCACAATGGGAAAACATGACCATCAAGGTAAGCATTTCATTTTCACGGCTCATTTGAAGGTCAAGACAGCAGAAGTTCTAACTAAACAAAAATAAATCTTTAGAACTGTCGGGACCGAGGGTCGGTCTGAGGCCCGTAGCCCGGACCGTCAGGTGGGGTTTTTCCACGACGGAGTAGAGTTAGGCACGGAAGCGTATTGGTTTTATAAAGAAAGCTTTACTTACACTGCCAATGGTCACAGTGCAGGAAGGAAACTTGCTTGAGTTGCAGTTGAGTTGAGTTGCAGTTGCACACATACAAACACAAATGAGATCTCTTCCGAACCGCGCCGAACCGAGATGAGTCGTCGATATACGACTCCACGAGTGCTTCACACGGGGGATATGTCAAATTTACACTATGACGGGGAGTGGCTAAGAGCTGATCAGGCCTCTCTGTCCTCCTCCCAGACACACGCGGAGTTTGTTAGGCTCCACAGCGCGCTCAGAGTTCCCCACAAGATGGTTGTGGAGTCCTCCAACTTGGGCGGAAACTGCTCTGACCTTTTATACGACTAGCGAGCCAATTGCTAGCTGCCACATAGGAATAATTTAGAATCAGCCAATAATGGGGTACGAATTTGCAT